TTAATTGAAAATAATTATTTTTTATATTTTAATTCTTTTTATTTATAGATCATATGATTTAAATTTAAAATTTTTTATTTTTATTTTTATATTATTATCAAACCACATATTACAACACCAAAAGTTAAATTTATTAGCAAATAACAGGAGAAATTTACTGACTAGTAAATAAGAAAAATTTAATCACATATAAGTTTTATATATTATATTTATATAAAATTTTAATTATTTATTTTTTTATTTTTAATAATTAAAATTTAACATTATTTTTTAAATAAAAATAATAATTATCTTTAATAAATATAAATAAATTTTAATTATTAAAAATAAAAAATAAAAAATAAAAATTTTATGTAAATATAATATATAAAAATTATATTTAAATAAATTTTTATTCAACAAATAAATATCATTTAAATTAAATTTAAAATTTAAGTTTATTTAGAAGGCATACACTTGAAAACGTTTAGGAATAAATTAATTTTAAAATTGCACGTAATCGACTGAAAGGGACATCAACATTCCATTAAAAAAACACGATTCACACATTTTGAAGTGCTTACAATTTGCAACTCCTAATTAAAAAAACTGGTGATTCCGACCGTATCAAATTTTTTAATGATTTTGCGAAGTTCCTGTGCGACCAATCCCACTACTTATTAGGTGTATCTTTTTGTCCTAGTAAATGAAGATCGAAACTATATGCATTGTAATTGGTCAGAACATTAATTTAAGCTCCGTTTATTATTATTGCTATGTTTTTATTATTGAATTTTTTTAAATATATACTTTAAAGTATACGTTAAAGAAGTAAATAATATATATTTTTATTAAGTTACATAAAAAATAAATTTTAATTTTGAACCTGATCCTTTCGGGTCAAGTGACCTTAGCCACGTTTGTAAGGTTCATATCCCCCTCTTCCATAAGAACGGTTCGAACCGGCCCCATGACAAAAATGTTCAAAAAAAAATATTTTTTTTAATTTTAATTTTAATAATTAATTAATTAAATTAAAACATATAATATTGATATTAACATTAATATTAATTAATAATTTAAAATATATCAATTATACTTTTAATAGGTGCTTTAAGAATAGAAGTTAAAAAAAATTATTTTATTTTAGTTCTAAAAAATTTTAAAAATATTAAACCAAAATAAATAAATTTAATAAATTAAATTAATTTTTTAATTTGGTTAGCAATTTAAAAAATTTGTACCTAACAAATAGTTAGTTTTAATTTTGAGCAATGCTAGGAACACTTGCCATTTGCACTCCCCAACCAACACTTTCATTTTCATTGGGTCACGTTATGCTCGTTTCAAGAGAGTTCATCATATCATAGCGACGCAAGCTTACGTGGCCCAATAAAAGGGCATGTGTCGGCTGGAGAGTGCAGGACGCGAGTGCCCCTAGCACTGCTCTTTAATTTTTAATTTTAGCCCAACTTAACCGCCACTGTCGCCTCTTCACCAAATAACCTTCACTTCTTAAGCCCAATTAGAAAGCACTACGGCCCAAATAATGGAGCTACTATTGATGGAATGTTTCGTACAGACCCGTACAAGTTGGCCCAAAACAACTTTTGTTGAAATTGAATGCGTCTTACTTACCGGCCTTCAGTCACAATCTCTTCCATTACATTTTAATTTCAAGATTAAATGCTAATTTTGGTCACTCAACTTAAGGTTTCGCATAATTTTCATCCTTTAACTCTTTTTTGTACTTTTTTAGTCCCTTAAGTATGAAAAATACACTTTTTTAATCATTTCGTTAATTAATTAGTTAAGTCCATATGAATCTATACATTTTTAGTCTCTTAACTTAAAGTTTAAGGATGAAAAATGTGCATATATTAGAAGTTGAAGAA